ACCCTTAGCTACAGCCCGCTGGATCATGGACACACGTGTGCCTCTTGTACTCAGAGAGTGCTGTGTGAACCTGGAACTTCCCCACATTGCTCGGCCTCACAGAGTCACATTTTAGCACTGAACCACCGTCTGGCCCCACGATAGGCATTATTATTAACCCCTTTATACCGACAAGGAGACTGAGTCACGGAGCAGTTAGGTAACCCGCCTAAGGTCACATAACTGGGATTCAAAGCTAAGCCTTTAGCTAACATATTATATTGCCTTGCCAATAAAACGATATATAGTGGTTTTTCTCCTGCTGGAGAAAATACTAAGTGTTTCAAAAAAGCAGATAATAAACAAAGTAGGAGAATATCAGCCATAATCCTATCACCCATGAAGAATTGAATAGGTTACTTAAGCAGATATAAACATACATTAGTTTGTATTAAAAAAATTAAACCATACCATATACCATGGGTTCTTTTTTTTCCCTTGTCTTTTTTTTTTTCCAGAGGTTTTTGCTATAGGGCGCGTGTGCTTGCCAGACAGACAGAGAGAAATGAGAGACAGAAAGCGAGAAATCACCCCCCAGGGGGGATGGTCGTGCCGCAATCCCTTCTCCTCCATTCTCCTCTTGAGATCTTGGGCACACACGCACACGCGCCCGGCGTGAGTTTAAGCCACTGGGTCCGGGACTCGAACCGCGGTTGACTATGTGGGAGTCCAGTGACATAGCCATTACACTAACTGCTGGTCCCTCCCTTGTCTTTTAATTCAGAATTTTAAACAGCTTTATTGAGACATTTTTTAAATTTTTATTTAACTATCTTTTATTTATTTATGTATTTATTAATGAGAGTGAGAGTGAGAAAGAGAGAGAGAAAATGAAAGCCACCAGGTCTGGGACTTGAACTGTAGTGTAGTCGGCCATGTTGGAGTCCAATGCCCTTAACCATCATGCCACCTGCCAGACCCCCCCCCTTTTTTTTTATTTGGCCACGTGGTGCATGTGCTCACCGAAGAGAGAAACAGTGAGAGGAAAAGTTAGAAATCACCCCCTGAATGGGGGATGGTCATACTGCCATCCCTTCTTTTGGGATTTTCGGGCTGCAAGCGCATGTGCCTGGTGTGATTTTTGAGTTGCTAGATCCAGGACTTGAACCGCAGTCAGCCATGTGGGAGTCCTGCTGGCCCTAAGGTATAACTTTTTAAAAAATACTTTTTTTTTTTTTTTTTTTTTTTTTGCCATAAAGTGTGTGTCCTTGCCTGGAGAGACAGAGAGAGACAGACTAAAAGTGAGAAATCAGTCCCTGGGGGGGATGGCCATACCACAATCCCTTCTCCTCCATTCTCCTCTCAGGATTTTGGGCATGCACATGCATGTGCCCAGCACAAGCTTCAAGCTGCTGGGTCCAGGACTCGAAATGCAGTCAATGATGTAGGAGTCCAGCCCCCGTAACCACTATACTATACTGCCTTACTACCTGCTGGCCCCATAATTGTTTTAATCGTACCTATGATTTTGGTGGGTTTACAGAGTTTTACAACCATTACTACAAACCACTTTTAGACACATTTATCATCCCCCAAATATCTTAAAAAACAAAAACAAGAACAAAACACACACACAAAAAACAACCAACGTGCATACGTAGTGAGGGATAGGGAGAGTGTGGTCAGGGGGACAGGTCAGGTCACAATGCCTTCTCCATTTCGGCATTTTGGGCATGCACACACACATGCCTGGTATTGTTTTCAAGCTGGCGTGTTCTGGATTCAAACCCTGTAGTCAGCCATGTGGGGTCCAGCTCACATAACCACCAGGCCATCACAGCTGGCCCTTTTCTTTCATTTTTTTATGGTGTCTTTGAAAGTCCCCACATTTTGAATTTCAATGAAGCCCAATTTATCAATTTTTTTCTATTATTAATTGTGCTTTTGGTGTCATATCTAAGAAGTCTTGGGACCAGCAGTTAGCATAATGGCTATGTCGCTGGACTCCCACGTAGTCGACCGTGGTTCGAGTCCCGGACCCGGCGGCTTAAACTCACTCTGGGCACGTGTGCGTGCATACCCAAGATCCGGAGAGGCGAATGGAGGAGAAGGGATTGCAGCATGGCCATCCCCCCCGAGGGGTGATTTCTCACTTTCTGTCTCTCTGACTCTCTTTGTCTATCTGGCGAGCGCATGCGCCCTATAAAAAAAAAAAAAAAAAAAAAAAGTAGTCTTTACCTGACTTTGAGATGTTTTACTTACTCTGCCCTACTCACCCTCAGTTATCAGTACGTGTTGGGGCTGTTTCTAAGTCAATAAACACAGGTAGGCATTGTCTCTGCTGCTGTGGTTTCTGGAAAAAGGAGAGGGAAGACAGAAGACAATAGGGCCGACTACTCACAATTTCCTGGATGACTGTTTTTTTCTTGGGACCTCCTTATCTCCTTTGATCATCTCCTGTCTGGTACCTTCATGGTGGGTTACAAATAAACTTTACTAGGCTGCTAACTTCATTACATTTATGTTTTAATACCTTAGTCACACAGATTCCTTGCCCCCAGACTTCTGCAGGCTTATACCTCCCATCAGATTCTGCTGAGGGGCAGCCCCCCAAATATTCCTCTGTAATTTGGGATTTGACAGCTGCTGCTTCCTGCATCTACTTCATTCTCTAAACCTGGACTGGGCCTTGGAGAAAATCCAGCTCCTGTTTATGTATTAAAATGTAATATGGAGGACTAGCAGTTAGTGTGATGGCTATGTCGCTGAACTTCCATGTAGACGACCGTGGTTTGAATCCCGGACCCAATGGCTTAAACTCATGCCGGGTGCGTGTGCGTGCGTACCCAAGATACCAAGAGGAGAATGGAGGAGAAGGGATTGCCGTGTGACCATCCCCCCTCTGGGGCGATTTCTTGCTTTCTATCTCTCTGTCTTTCTGGTGAGCGCATGTGCCCTATAGCAAAAACCTCTAAAAGAAAATGTAATATGGAAAAAAGTTTCTTTAGGAAATAATTTTGTTTAAGCTGACTTATTTATTTCTTCCATGAGTGAGAGGGAGGGAGGAGGGTTGGGGGTGCACCCTCCACAGGGTGTCGATACTGCAATTCACTCCCAGCTTCGTCCAGCCCCATGGGTACTGGCTTGCCCGGTGTACTCAGGGAGGTTTCTGGAACTTTTCCATGTGGGTCAGCCTTGCAGAGTGTTGCAGTTTTGGGGACCACCTTCCTGTACCCAGGAAATAACTTTCAGACAGACAAAACAAATGGAGAAGCCAGAGGAGGGCAAAGGTCTGGGAGGAGCCTGGTATTAGAATGCAAAAGGCGGATTTGAGGATTTCAGAGCTCAGTGCTGAAACTGCAGAAGTACAGAGATGGCTACTGCACAGCCATGCTGGTGAGAAGCCAAGGGGGTGGCCCTACTGCTTCAGAAACATCCCCTGTTCCCATTTGGGGCCCAGAATTCAAAAGATGAATACTAACGTTGGGGGAAAGCAAGAAAGGTGGGTGTGGGGCAGCTCCCTGGTTGGACAAGGGCCACTGCAAGGTCAGGGAAGCATCAGTGAATAAAGAGACACATTAAAAGTCAAACAGTTCATCCAAGCTGGTAGGTAAATGTTAAGAGGCTGGAGTAGAGAAATCACTCCAAAAGCTTTAAGACCCAGCCGGAGGGTCTTTAACTTAACTTTGTTTTTCACATGGAAAACAATACCAAGCCACTGCAGGGGACATTTGTTGTAGCATGGAATTTACTGGAAGGTTGAAAAACAGGAGGCCAGCTGGTAGCTACCCAAGAGATTCAGTCAGACCTGAGGTGAAGGGCTGGCCTTGGACCTTGGGTGTGTGAGAGTTGATCAGGTCTCGGGACAGATTTGTGCAGTGCACGTGCAGAGACTGGCTGAGCTGAGGTGCTCAGGGTAGGAACCCTGGGAAGGACAGTAAAAAGGCTGGGCAGTTTATTTGGAGGTATAATTACATTCACTAGAATACACAGATTTTTTTTTTCTGAGATTTTTGCTATAGGACACGTACACACTTGCTGGAGAGACAGAGAGACAGAAAGCAAGAAATCACTCCCCAGTGGGGTTCGCCACACTGCAATCCCTTCTCTTCCATTCTCCTCTCAGAATCCTGGGTTCACATGCACACGGGCTTGGCATGAGTTTTAAGTCAGCAGAGTCCGGGACTGGAATAACGGACTATGTGGGAGTCCAGCAAGGTATATCTTCTGGTCTCAGAATACACAGATATAAATTGTAGAATGAATTTTGATAAACGACTATGCCCGTCTAAGCACCTCCTCCCCCAAAACTCAGGGTCCCCCCCCCCAAATATAAAAAGCTGAGAAAGCTGAGAAGCAATAAGTACTAGAACTAAAAACTGCAGTTACCTGGAGCCAAGAGGAAGAAATCCTGTGAACAAATACAGGCGCAGGAAGGGGTAAACGAAGAAAGGCCCCACCTTTACTATTTGTGATGCTTTTGAACCCACAAACTTAAGATTTTTTTTGTCGGTATAAATTACTGATATTTTTCTTTCCTGAGACTTCACTCTCCTATTTAACTTTCTTGAACGAGAAAAAAAAAACATTTTCCCTACTAGCCACTGCTAAGGTGTGCCCTATGGAACTTGGCGAACGGGCTTCATGGCAGTGGGGGAGGGGGCTAAAGCGTCCCACCCGGTGGTCTGCACCTCTTGCAAGCGGCTTGCACCACTCTGCTCCAGACCTGGAGAGCCCAGCTTCCTTGGTGCAGCATGTTCTGGGAGCCTGGCCTCAGCACCTGGCAGTGCACGAGGGTGGGGGGTGCACACAATCCCTGGCTGCTCCGTGCTCTTGCAGCGACCCTGCAGCAATGCCCTCTGTGCTCGCAACCGGAGCTAGCTTGCACTCAGCAGGAGCGCAATAGCTCAAGTTGGGGGGCGTTGGGCGTGGCCACGCTTCCTCCCGCCCAGGCAGTCCCGGGAACGTTCTGAAAAGTATCCAAAAGTTCTGAACCTCTCGCGCGCGCGCCAAAAGAAAAAGTTATAAAGGGCGCAAGCCTCCACCACGCCAGGCTTTTGGTGTCTCGTCCTCGCCACTCGCGCTGCACCTCCGGCTGTGGCGCGCACGCCTCCTTCAGACGACCGTCGGTGGGACGCTTCTCTCGCAGCCCTCTCCGGAGAGTGTTAGCGACTCTCCTTGGGGCACCATGCCCAACGACGACGCATTTAGCAAGCCCTCCGCACCGTCGGAGGCCCCGCACGCCCCCGGGGCACCGCCGCAGGGCAAGGCGGGCGGCTTCAGCAAAGCGGCCGGAGCGCAGTTGGGAGCTGCTGGGAGCTCCAGTGCTGGGGGCAGCGGAGGCAGCTCTGGAGCTGGGTCGTCGGGTCTCGGCGCCACGAGCAAGAAGTCCCCGCGGCTGCCCAAGTGTGCGCGCTGCCGGAACCATGGCTATGCGTCCCCACTCAAGGGCCACAAGCGCTTCTGCATGTGGCGGGACTGCCAGTGCAAGAAGTGCAACCTCATTGCCGAGAGACAACGCGTGATGGCCGCACAGGTGAGTGCGGGCGCCCAGGAAGAGGGGTTCGGCCCCAGCATTTCTGATACAATCCCTTCCACGCGACCGGCGCCACCTGGGCCCCGAGGTCTGGGCGTGGGGGTGTTAGCAGATCTTCTTGGCGCGGTGGAGGTCGGGGCCCAGGACTCCCACCGCACTGTCGGGACTCGTCTATGACCGTGCCCGAGTAGGAAAAGGATGCGGGGTTCACCGAGCTTGTGAATCCCTAGGATTCCTGACCCCTCTTCTTCCTGCAGAATTGCGAGGTTCGCTCTCTGCGAACCTCGAGCTCCAGCCCCACTCTCTGAGCAGAATTGCGGGGTTCGCTCCATTTGGGGCTCCTCATGATATCTGATCCCACCCTTGGAGCAGAGTTGAGGGCTTCACTCCTCTAGGGGTTCCCGCCTATCTCTGACCTGGTCCCCAGGAGGGTTGCGGGATTTGGGAGTTCGTGGGCTCTATCGCACCTCGCAGCGGAGTTGCGGGGTTCTCTGTGCTCGCGGGTCCGGGGAACCGCTGACACCGCTCTCTGAGCAGAGCGTTGCAGGGTTCGCTCTGCAACATTTCGGACCCCACTCTGCAAGCGGAGTAGCGGGTTCGTCCCGATAGGGAATGCCAGACCCCACCTTCCAGCAGAGTTTCGGGGTTCGCTGTGCGAGCGGGTCCAGGGAGCCTCTGACACCGCTCTCTGAGCAGATAGTTGTCGGGGTTCGCTCCCCTCGGGGTCCCCGGGCTCCCTGAGAAGGACCCCCTGCCACTTGAGTGGCGCTTAAACAAGTCCTCGAGGTGCCCGCGGGCTGCACGGTCGGGCTGAGCGGGGCCCCCGCAGGGTACCGTGTCCCTAAGCCTTGCGGTTTTTCTGGGAGCCCTGGAAATGTTATTAGCATTTTAACTTTGGCGGTCTCGCCCTAGATGTTTAAGTGCAAATTACTTTGCACGTATTTTAAAGAATGTTTAGGAATGTTGAGGAATGTGCACGCGGGGAAAGGTGCCCAGGGTCGAGGTTTCATCTGTCCACAGTCGTGGTTTTGTTTTATAAAGCTTCAGTAACTAGTAATTAAGCATCTTAACGGAATTGGTCGATGTCCTTGGTATCCTAAAAGGATTTTTGGAAGACAATAATGTACGTTCTTTGCAGCAAGAAGCCCTTTCGTCATTTTAAGGCAGGTTATTGAAAGCAAAAAGTTACCAACAAGTATTTGCTAACGATGTGATACTTTTGATTAGGAATGTGTAAATGTTCTCCATTGAAATGATTCAGATAAGAAATGTCTATCCTGGTTGTACAAATACCTAAATTCATTTTTAGGTACATCAGATTTTTAAAAATGTGTTTAAACTAGGTATATTTTGATTTAACACGTCATAAAAAGTCAAGAAAATATAGATTATTTCCCTTAGTTTCCTTTGTGTAGATTTTAAACTTAATTTAAAGTGGATGGAAAGAATATCTTGGTTGTAGCATTGTAATGCACCAGGAGCTTCCTGGGAACTTAGGGACTTTTAAATTGTCCTTGTAGGTAGAAAATAATTCCAAATAGTTAGTGTGAAGAATTTGCCTGGAAAAAAAAAAATTTGCCTGTGTAATTTTTTCTCAAATGTAATTATTCTAGTAGGGTACTCGTTTTGAGGCAAATGACGGTTACTTTTTTTTTTAAGATTACTTTTAAATGTGAGTATTTTTAATTTATTTAATTATTTTCATATCAAAAGGCTTATGATGAGCTAAATAAATCTTTAAAATTTCAAATAGCTACTTTTTAGTCATTTCCAAATAGTTTGCAATTGATCCTAGATACAGTTTTTAAATAATTGCATTTGTAATCAGTTACTGCCCCTTTGTCATTTAAATAACATTCCTTAAGAAAGCTTGAGAGAAGGTCTCTATAAAGGTGTCCTTAGTTTATGGAATAGATACCCAGGTGTTTTGGATATGCATGGAGTTGGTATGAATCAGGGTATAAGTTAGATGCATTGTCATACCTCAGGTTTGCAAGGGCTTTTAAATTATTATTCTGTTCAAAGTCCTTGATTTTCTGTTTCTAAACCTCTTGGTTAATAGTACAAAATCTGAGATGTAAATTTAACTTACTTTTTTTTAAAGAATTATTTTATATAACTATATTTGTTTATTTATTTTCATTTGACCAGAGAGGGACAGAATGAGAGAGGAAAAGCGAGAAAGCAAGCTGCTAGGTCCAGGAACTGTAGTCAACTGTGGGGCTGTCCAGTTCCTTAACCTAACCAAAACGCCCCCTGCCAGCCCCAACTACTTACTCTTAAGTAATTGATTATTTAACGTTTCTTTTTCTTTAAAAAAAATTAATTAATTAATTAATTAATTAATTAATTAATTAAAATTTGACCAGAGAGGGACAGAGTGAGAGAGAGACGGAAAGTGAGAAAGCAAGCCACCAGGTGTGGTCAGCCTCGTGGGAGTCCAGCGCCCTCAACCACCATGCCACTTGCCGGCTTCCAAAGGTTTATTTTTCTGAGCTGAAGAATTCTTTGGTTATGAGTAACAGTTTCTTTGAATGAATCAGCTTTCTCAGTTTGAAATACTGATTTTCTATATCTACATAAATTGTAGTGTTTCTAACCTACCATTTGGCTTTCATTTTTTTGACTTGTATTTGGTTCTCTGAGGTATAGATTCTTCACTTTCTCATTTCATTCATCAGCATAGTCGATTTCAACAGAAAGTTTTTCTTTCTGTTACATGTATTGTAGTAAGCAAAATTACAATTTATTTTCTTTAAACCTCTTTATCCCAGTCTTTAACAATGTTATTTAAAAGCAGATAAGTTGAAGAGGACTATGAGAAGTTTCTTATGTTGTATGAGGTCCTTTCTGATTCCCCATTCCTCCTGCCTGGAATACTTCTCTTTCTCTCTCCACCCACTCACCTTCCCTTTCTACCCCCTCCAGCCTCTTTATCCTCCAAGGACTGCAACCCTGTTTTCCAGCCTCTTTTCCCCACACTCCCGGAGTAACAGGGCTCTGCAGGTTTTCCTAAACAGCTCCAGCCTTTCCTGCCTGGTTCCACATGGTTCCAGATGGTTCTACTCTATCCTTGCCTGTCTGAGTCCTATCACTCATTCTCCAAAGCTCTGCGTAAATAATACATTTTTTTTAAAAGAGAGATATTTGCTATAGGATGCATGTGCTTGCTGGAGAGACACAGAGAGACAGAAAGCAAGAAATCACTTCTAGCAGGGGGGTGACCCCTCCTCCAGTCTCCTCTCGGGATTTTGGGCACGCACACACATGGGCTCAGCATGATTTTTTTTTTTAAGCTGTCGGATCCAGGACTCAAACCGTGGTCCATTATGTGGGAATCCAGCGACATAACCATTACATCATCTGCTTGTCCCCTAATTCTTATATTTTAAAGACATCTCATTTTTGAATTTCTCCTTTAGGATTGGGGTGTATCTCTCTTAGGGTGTTTATTGTGTGCTGTCTTATGTTGTAGCTTTGTGTTAGCTTTTCTTCTGTTAAACAGTTATTTGGGATCTAATATAATCTTACTAATTGCTGCTGTCTATACAGTGCCTTTAGCTGCAGAATGAAGGCAAGAGTGATGCTGGACTCCTTCCCTCGTAAATCAGTCAGTGCTTCTGCTCTCGCACTCACGTAACTGACTCTACAGCACTCCTGCTCTTCTCTAGCAAACACCTTTCTAGTACTCTGCACCCCTGCGTTCTTTGACATGCGTCTGCTCAGTACCTCCTGTGGGCTAGGTACTCTGGCCTAAACCACTTCTCAGCCTTGGCTCCCATCATGGCTCCAGGGTAGCTTTACAGAGATGGGAGAGGTTCTCAGACCTTACCCGAGAGTTAAGAAGCCTGGTGTTGGGTGGGCAGAACTTCTGCAGTTCGGGCAGAGCTGCACAGGTGATGCACTGGGATGACCCACTGTCCTGTGCTTCCAGGTGGCCCTGAGACGGCAGCAGGCCCAGGAGGAGGAGCTGGGCATCAGCCACCCCATCCCGCTGCCCTGCGCGGCCGAGCTCCTGGTCAAGAGAGAGAACAACGTTGGCAACCAGTGCCTGATGACTGAGAGCAGCAGCTCCGTGCAGCCGCCGCCGCCCAGCATCCCGACCACTGCAGCTTCAGGTAACCCCAGGCCCTGGGTTCAGGGCCAAGGGAAGAGAGGCTGTGGCCATGAAAGCAGTCTCAGGAACCTCCTGGGCCACTGAAAGCATTTAGACCCTAGAGGGTTTCTGTGAAGGATTCTTCCTGGCAGCTCTGGTTTCGGCTGCCTTCCAAGGGGAAGACCACCACTTCTAGAAAAAGTGGTTCAACGGCTTCAGTTTCTTGCTGATTAGTCAAAAGTGAATCTGGACAGAGGAAAACCCAGAAGGTTGGAAAGGAGCAAGGTTATTTAGATTTCATCTCATGAGTTCTCCATTTTCTGGTCATCTTAGTGGAGGGCTGACCAGAAAACTGGAAGTCTGGTTTTCTAAGAATGACTGCATCCGTTTAGGGAAAATATCAGTAAAAGACAAATCCTGGGTGTCTGGTTTGAATGAGCAGTGGAAAGGAACGTGGGCAACCATCTCCCCTGCGCTAAGCAGTGTTTCAGGGGCTGATATATGTTCATTCCTTTCCAGCTCTGTAAGGGGGAAGGTGTTATAATCCTTATTTATGGATGTGTGAGTACAGATACAGAAAGTTCAAGTATTAGGAAGTATCTGAAGTAGTCCATCTTCCACCAAAACTCAATGTGCTTACTGCACTGGGTTTATAAATTACCCAAAGAACAACAGTGGTCTCTATCCAGTATGGAAGCCCCTAGCCACAAGTGTTATTTCCATTTTTATTTGCAGTTTCCTTTCCTTCCTTTTTTCCTTTCTTTCCTTCTCTCTTTTTCTCTGTCTCTCCCTCCTTCCTTGCTTCTTTCCTCCTTCCCTCCCTCTTTTACTGCTTCCTCCCTCCTCCCCTCCCTTCTTCTCCCCCTCTTTTTGTCTAGGGTTTGTGCAGTGACCTTCTCTGTTCAGCATTTCCCAGGCATCCAGGATCAGGGTTAGCATGAACACCCATCCCCCCGCCCCCGTGTGTCCAGATTACTCGGGAACCTAACCTCCAGTCTTCCATATGGCCTCCAGCATTGTGGAGCAATGTGCTCTTGCCACTTCAGCTGAACCCATGTGTGGTTATTTAACTTTAATTTAATTATGACAGAATAAAATGAGAGCACTCTGTTTCCTTTTGTACCAGCCACCTCTCAAGGTGCTTAACTAGCCGCACTTAGCCAAGGGCTGCCATACTGGGTAATGGATGTCCATCTCTCAGAACGTTTCATTTGATGGCCCTATTCCAGAATGCCGGTGCTCTGAGAAATCCACCAGTCAAAGATTTGTGAAAGCATACTGTATCTGGCAATTAAATATAAAAATGAGATTCACAGAATGTCTTTAGGATCTGCTAAGGCTCTATGAAGTACAGCCTTGCAGTGGTGGTACCACCTGAACTATGCTTTCCTGAATTACTCAGTGTGTTGGGCTTAACCACTGGACTCAAGTTGTACAACTGCACGTAATTATGCAACAAAAATACACCTTTGGAAGCCGGCAAGTGGCATGGTGGTTGAGGGCGCTGGACTCCCACGAGGCTGACCACACCTGGTGGCTTGCTTTCTCACTTTCCGTCTCTCTCTCACTCTGTCCCTCTCTGGTCAAATTTTAATTAATTAATTAATTAATTAATTAATTAAAATTTGACCAGAGAGGGACAGAGTGAGAGAGAGACGGAAAGTGAGAAAGCAAGCCACCAGGTGTGGTCAGCCTCGTGGGAGTCCAGCGCCCTCAACCACCATGCCACTTGCCGGCTTCCAAAGGTTTATTTTTCTGAGCTGAAGAATTCTTTGGTTATGAGTAACAGTTTCTTTGAATGAATCAGCTTTCTCAGTTTGAAATACTGATTTTCTATATCTACATAAATTGTAGTGTTTCTAACCTACCATTTGGCTTTCATTTTTTTGACTTGTATTTGGTTCTCTGAGGTATAGATTCTTCACTTTCTCATTTCATTCATCAGCATAGTCGATTTCAACAGAAAGTTTTTCTTTCTGTTACATGTATTGTAGTAAGCAAAATTACAATTTATTTTCTTTAAACCTCTTTATCCCAGTCTTTAACAATGTTATTTAAAAGCAGATAAGTTGAAGAGGACTATGAGAAGTTTCTTATGTTGTATGAGGTCCTTTCTGATTCCCCATTCCTCCTGCCTGGAATACTTCTCTTTCTCTCTCCACCCACTCACCTTCCCTTTCTACCCCCTCCAGCCTCTTTATCCTCCAAGGACTGCAACCCTGTTTTCCAGCCTCTTTTCCCCACACTCCCGGAGTAACAGGGCTCTGCAGGTTTTCCTAAACAGCTCCAGCCTTTCCTGCCTGGTTCCACATGGTTCCAGATGGTTCTACTCTATCCTTGCCTGTCTGAGTCCTATCACTCATTCTCCAAAGCTCTGCGTAAATAATACATTTTTTTTAAAAGAGAGATATTTGCTATAGGATGCATGTGCTTGCTGGAGAGACACAGAGAGACAGAAAGCAAGAAATCACTTCTAGCAGGGGGGTGACCCCTCCTCCAGTCTCCTCTCGGGATTTTGGGCACGCACACACATGGGCTCAGCATGATTTTTTTTTTTAAGCTGTCGGATCCAGGACTCAAACCGTGGTCCATTATGTGGGAATCCAGCGACATAACCATTACATCATCTGCTTGTCCCCTAATTCTTATATTTTAAAGACATCTCATTTTTGAATTTCTCCTTTAGGATTGGGGTGTATCTCTCTTAGGGTGTTTATTGTGTGCTGTCTTATGTTGTAGCTTTGTGTTAGCTTTTCTTCTGTTAAACAGTTATTTGGGATCTAATATAATCTTACTAATTGCTGCTGTCTATACAGTGCCTTTAGCTGCAGAATGAAGGCAAGAGTGATGCTGGACTCCTTCCCTCGTAAATCAGTCAGTGCTTCTGCTCTCGCACTCACGTAACTGACTCTACAGCACTCCTGCTCTTCTCTAGCAAACACCTTTCTAGTACTCTGCACCCCTGCGTTCTTTGACATGCGTCTGCTCAGTACCTCCTGTGGGCTAGGTACTCTGGCCTAAACCACTTCTCAGCCTTGGCTCCCATCATGGCTCCAGGGTAGCTTTACAGAGATGGGAGAGGTTCTCAGACCTTACCCGAGAGTTAAGAAGCCTGGTGTTGGGTGGGCAGAACTTCTGCAGTTCGGGCAGAGCTGCACAGGTGATGCACTGGGATGACCCACTGTCCTGTGCTTCCAGGTGGCCCTGAGACGGCAGCAGGCCCAGGAGGAGGAGCTGGGCATCAGCCACCCCATCCCGCTGCCCTGCGCGGCCGAGCTCCTGGTCAAGAGAGAGAACAACGTTGGCAACCAGTGCCTGATGACTGAGAGCAGCAGCTCCGTGCAGCCGCCGCCGCCCAGCATCCCGACCACTGCAGCTTCAGGTAACCCCAGGCCCTGGGTTCAGGGCCAAGGGAAGAGAGGCTGTGGCCATGAAAGCAGTCTCAGGAACCTCCTGGGCCACTGAAAGCATTTAGACCCTAGAGGGTTTCTGTGAAGGATTCTTCCTGGCAGCTCTGGTTTCGGCTGCCTTCCAAGGGGAAGACCACCACTTCTAGAAAAAGTGGTTCAACGGCTTCAGTTTCTTGCTGATTAGTCAAAAGTGAATCTGGACAGAGGAAAACCCAGAAGGTTGGAAAGGAGCAAGGTTATTTAGATTTCATCTCATGAGTTCTCCATTTTCTGGTCATCTTAGTGGAGGGCTGACCAGAAAACTGGAAGTCTGGTTTTCTAAGAATGACTGCATCCGTTTAGGGAAAATATCAGTAAAAGACAAATCCTGGGTGTCTGGTTTGAATGAGCAGTGGAAAGGAACGTGGGCAACCATCTCCCCTGCGCTAAGCAGTGTTTCAGGGGCTGATATATGTTCATTCCTTTCCAGCTCTGTAAGGGGGAAGGTGTTATAATCCTTATTTATGGATGTGTGAGTACAGATACAGAAAGTTCAAGTATTAGGAAGTATCTGAAGTAGTCCATCTTCCACCAAAACTCAATGTGCTTACTGCACTGGGTTTATAAATTACCCAAAGAACAACAGTGGTCTCTATCCAGTATGGAAGCCCCTAGCCACAAGTGTTATTTCCATTTTTATTTGCAGTTTCCTTTCCTTCCTTTTTTCCTTTCTTTCCTTCTCTCTTTTTCTCTGTCTCTCCCTCCTTCCTTGCTTCTTTCCTCCTTCCCTCCCTCTTTTACTGCTTCCTCCCTCCTCCCCTCCCTTCTTCTCCCCCTCTTTTTGTCTAGGGTTTGTGCAGTGACCTTCTCTGTTCAGCATTTCCCAGGCATCCAGGATCAGGGTTAGCATGAACACCCATCCCCCCGCCCCCGTGTGTCCAGATTACTTGGGAACCTAACCTCCAGTCTTCCATATGGCCTCCAGCATTGTGGAGCAATGTGCTCTTGCCACTTCAGCTGAACCCATGTGTGGTTATTTAACTTTAATTTAATTATGACAGAATAAAATGAGAGCACTCTGTTTCCTTTTGTACCAGCCACCTCTCAAGGTGCTTAACTAGCCGCACTTAGCCAAGGGCTGCCATACTGGGTAATGGATGTCCATCTCTCAGAACGTTTCATTTGATGGCCCTATTCCAGAATGCCGGTGCTCTGAGAAATCCACCAGTCAAAGATTTGTGAAAGCATACTGTATCTGGCAATTAAATATAAAAATGAGATTCACAGAATGTCTTTAGGATCTGCTAAGGCTCTATGAAGTACAGCCTTGCAGTGGTGGTACCACCTGAACTATGCTTTCCTGAATTACTCAGTGTGTTGGGCTTAACCACTGGACTCAAGTTGTACAACTGCACGTAATTATGCAACAAGTCACTTACGCTCTGTGGGTCTTTTGTTTTCCTGTTCTCAGACATGAGGGGAAAGAGGACCAAATTTTAGTGTTACATAGTAAAATAGGATAAATGATAGTTAATAATTTATTGTATACCTGAGGTTAGTAGAAAGAGGGACTTTGAATGTTCCCAACATAAAGAAATGACGAACGTGTGTGAGATGTAGAAATGCCAGTTGTCCTGATTTGTTAACTACACACCGTTTGCTTGTATTGAAAAATCATACTGTACCTTAAAAAGATGTAGTTACTCTGTGTGAGAAAATAATGATGTTAATAATAAATGGGGATATGATGGAGAGAGTTTCTAAAGGTCTTGAAGATCTTGAGTCTTGACCTTTATTGAGAAGGAGAAGATAAGGCAGCACCAGAGAAAGCAGGTAAGTATGTCTTTGTGTTTCTCTGTGTTATTAGAACTATAGGGTCTATAAATTAACAAAGGACAGGTATTCTTGTATCTTTTTTTTTTTTTTAAGCAATTTTTGCTATTGGGAGTGTGCCTAAAGAAACAGAAAGCGACAGATCACCCCCCGGTGGGGGGGAACAACCATGCCACAATCTCTTCTCCTCCGTTCTCCTCTCGGGATCTTGGGCATGCATTCAGTTCCACCTGATGTGAGTTTCAAGCTACAGGTCTGGGACCTGAACCTCTGTCCGCATGTGGGAGTCCAGGGCCCCAAACACTATACCACCTTGCTGACCCCCTCTTGTATCCTTTTTGAATTGGTCACCCATAGTATATGGTTACAGAAATTTCCAAACCTGGGAACTAGCAGTTAGCGTAATGACTATGTCACTGGACTTCCATGTAGTTGACCGCGGTTCGTGTCCCAGACCTGGTGGCTTAAAACTCACGCCGGGTGCGTGTGCGTGCATGTGTGTGCGGGCCAAAGATCCCGAGAGGAGAATGGAGGAGAAGGGATTGCCGCGTGACCATCCCCCCTGGGGGGGGTGATTTCTCGCTTTCTGTCTCTATGTCTTTCTCTGTCTGTCTGGCGAGCGCACGCGCCCTATAGTGAAAACCTCTCCAAAAAAAAAAAGAGAAATTTCCCAACCTTGCTTTTCATAGGAAGAAAGGAATTTATCAGAAATATATCTAAAATGTCTTAGCCATTTTTTTGTTGCTGCAATTGAGTACTACTGACTGGGTAAGGATAAAATTTTCTTTAGCTCATGGGTCTGGAGGCTGTGAAGTTCAAGAGCATGACCCTGGTATCTGATGACAGGAAGCATTTGCTATCTCAGGTCTTGCTTCCTCTTACGAAACCACCAGTGCTGCCATAAGGGCCCCACCCTGATGACCTTACCTGATCCTAATTACCTCCTAAATGCCTTAACTCCAAATATCATCAACATATTAATTGGGGATTATGTTTCCAAAACATGATTTTTAAAATAATTATTTTATTTAATTTTATTCATTTATTTTTATTTTAATTTGACCAGAGAGGGACAGGAGTAGGGGGAGGTGAGAAAGTAGGCCATCAGGTCTGGGACTCAAACCATGGTTGACTATGTGGGAGTTCAGTGCTCTTAACCACCATACCACCTGCCAGCCCCCCAGAACATGAAATTTTTTTTTCTCTTTTTTTGGAGTTTTTTTTTGCTATAGGGTGTGTGCGTTCGCCAGACAGACAGAGAGAGACATAGAGACAAGGCGAGAAATCACCCCCTAGGGGGGATGGTCACACCTCAGTCCCTTCTCCTCCATTCTCCTCTCGGGATCTTGGGCACGCACGCACACACACCTGGCGTGAGCTTTAAGCCACCGGGTGCGGGACGCAAACCGCGGTCGACTACATGGGAGTCCAGCGACATAGCCATTACGCTAACTGCTGGTTCCCCCAAAACATGAAATTTAAGGGATACATTTCAAACCATTGCACAAGGCTTAGCAAATGGTAAGGAAACTGCCCTATAATAAAGCTGGGCTGAGCTGGGATTCATTCCAAGCCTGTCTGGTCCCAAAGACTGTGGATTTTCCATTTCCCTTCTGTGAGGACAGACTGAGGAGCCAGGTGTCATGTTTTCTTGGAGAATGGATAGTTAGGATTGTTCAGAGACTGTGATATAATCTTCAGAGGGATTTAGAGCTACAGGGCAAATAGGAACAGGGTCAGGGGCGAGAGCTGCTGCCATTCTCTATGGCACAGAAGGCTACAGCTAGTCGTCTTCAGGGAGAGAGATACAGGGAAAGCCGATGCTGGATCAAGGTCAATGCTGGACATGTTGTAGGACACCAGGGGTGGACTCGGCTTAGTAGAAGGGATGTGGTCTGAGTTTGATTGTAAACCCTAAGGTAGAATTTGGGAGAAATATTTCAGGCTGGACAGAGTTCAGAATGACAAAGAAGTCCTTTGGGGTATTTCAGAGGTGATAGGGAAAGTTACAAATAGAAGCAGCAGGGGAGCAAGATAGAGGGTTCAGGGTCAGGGAGGCTTTGCCTCTGGAGCTGACAGACCTTGTTGTAATTCTGGAATCTTGAACCAGTACCCAAAGGGAAGAAAGGTCAAAGCCAGTATGTGGGAGGTCTTCAAAAAGTTTGAGGAAAGTGTGTGTTATGAAAACGCTATGCATAGATTTCAAGATTGTTTTGCACCAAAATAAATTCACATTTGAATTCCATTTTTCATGAACTCTTCGAAGGCCCCGAGTGGTGTGGTGCTCATTTGCTCAGGTTTAGGTGGGCAGGCATTGCTCTGGGGGTGGGTGGGTTTGCCTTTTCCTAGCCAGCCAGCTCATCTCTGTGGGGAGGGTCATCGCTCACAGGACTTCTGCTAAGCCTCCTGGTTTGGGATTGATAACCTGGATTGAGTTAGGATGTGAGTGAGCGAGAGGGAAATAGAAGTGCCCATAGAATGAAATGACATAAAACAGGAGCGAGGGAGGGCAGGAAGGAGAGGGGTTTGGAGAGGGGCAAAGAACCAGAAAGACATACTGAAGAGAGTCTTGAGGCTTTATGTAGCAAATGGAATCCAGCTTCTTAGCTTGCTATTGACACGTGTACACTTTATATTATTTATATTGTCAGGGATTGGATTTATTTAAGTAACATGTAATTTTATGTTAGTAAATGGTAAACACTCCAGGTAGAATACAAAAGTGTATTTAGTGATGGGTAACTGTTCTTCCTTACCTTCTCCTTCTCAATACAGGCCAAGACTCGCGTCTCTGTCATTCCAGGGTTACTTGGATGTGCAGGTTTATATGACTATTTATCATATATATTTAGGTATTTAGCAAATAACTACAGTGTATTGTTCCCACTGATGTATAATTAGTTTTTCATTTAATATCGTTTAAAATGGAAAATTTTTTGGGACCAGCAGTTGGCGCAATGGCTATGTTGCTGGACTCCCATGTGGTCAACTGTAGTTTGAGTCCTGGACCCGGTAGCTTAAACTCATGCCAGGCACATGTGTATGTGAGCCCAAGATCCTGAGAAGAGAATGGAAAAGGGATTGTGGTGTGGCCATCCTCCCCAGGGGGTGATTTGCTTTTGTCTCTCTCTCTATATGCACACGCCCTATAGCAAAAACAAACTCTTAAAAAATTCTTTAAAATTGAAATTTTTTTCAAGTTTATTTACACATTTCACTCATGGTTAGAGAGAGGGAGAGAGAGAGACAGCACTCCCAATAAGACCTTAATGTACTCTACCCTCAGCTTCAGCCAGTCTGCAGTCATGGACACCTGTGTGTGCATGCCCAGTGCTCTCAGGGAGGTCTCTGGTTGTGAACCTGGAACCTTCACAAGTACGTCAGCACGTCAGCTTTGCAGAGTGCTGGGTTTTACTGCTGTGTCACCACCTGGCCTCTAGCTTGGAATTTTTAATGGCCTAAAATTTCATTTCATAGATGCAGAATGCCAGGATTTTTAATTCTGTAGTGAGAAGCCAAAGTCATGGGAATGTCCATGGAATAGTAAAACCTACCAGCCTGGCTGATCTGAGAGTAGGTTGCTAACCATTTTTTTTTTTTTTTCTAATACCTGATGTCTAGTGTTTATGAGACCGTAACTTAGTGCAATTTAATAGATTTTTATGTCCTTGATGTTTTTTAGTTACCTCCTTTTCCTGACAGTGCCAGAAGTGAGAGTGAATAAAGCTCAAGAATTATTGCTGAGATTATTGGCAGAATTCTATGGGCACATGGAAGGACATTGTATTTACTAGAGAACTTACTGCTCTGAGCAGGACAGTGTACCTTAGAATAATCTCTACAGTCCTTAGAGATCAGCTGAGAGTGACCAAAACATGGGCCATGAATAATAGATCTAAAACACTGCTTCTGTGATTCTCGGTATTACTGTAGAGGGAAGTAGCCCTTTGAGAAATTCTCTGTTCATTACTGTTCCTTATATTAGCAGTATCCAATATTAGGTACACTCCTGATTAACCGGTCATTTTTT